TTTATTCATTTCATTTAAACAGGGATAATTGTGGGGGACAAATGAAAACTACTGGGACAAAGAAGCTGAACAACCACAGAAATGGTCCAATCCAGAAAACGTTTTACAACAAACAGCTTATTCCTGTTGGTTCGAAACCTCCATATTCTTCATGATGGAGCAGTTCACGTTATTTCATCTTCGCTGAATAAATGTGAGGTTTCTTTTCCCCCTCAGCAGTAAGAGGCCGTGCAGGCTCACAGGCTGGTGGCTGGTTTGGACACCTGAGCCTGTTAATCTACCAAAACTCTGAGCCTAGTCCGAATGTTCATTAACATTTCATTTTATTATTATCTTTGGCTTGATAGAAATCGAGTGTGGATTGTTGGAAACGCAGTGAAGCAGCACTTTGTGTGTTTCTGATATATATCTGGTGTATAATTACTAATATGGCAGCTGCTCTGGAGAAGCGCAGGCTTACTGCTCACCCTGTTACTCCGTATATTAATCACTAATATTAGCAGTGTTCACATTCTTTGGCACATTTGCCTCGTTAGTGCATCTTGAGTCATAAGTTGTAATCATTTGTTTAATGCTGCAGGTTTTTCACTCTGTCAGACGAAAAATAAAACTTTAAAGTTTATTTAACGATTTTTGAAGTGAGCAGAGGTTATTCGTAGCCCACATTTGTGGTCTGTCTGTGTTTCCCAGGTGGAGCTAAACAGCCGACAGACGCTAAGCACAGAAATTGCCAAAGCTCTGGAAGAAACCAGACGACAGAAGGAGGGCCTGCAAACACAGGTCAGGGGATAAACTCAAACCTAGGCTCTGCTGAAATAACTCTGTGTGTTCATCACCTCACTGTTTGTGTGTGTTGTGCTTGATGTCAGGTTGCAGAGCTGAGTGCGGCTCTACAGAGCTCACAGCAGGAAGTGACCGCTGTCACTGAGAAGCTAGCACTCAGAGAGGACGACATCAGATCGCTCCAGAATGGTACACGCGTGTGCACTAAAGATCTTTAAAGAGACGGCGCTTAATAAAGAGCTTTAGAACAAGAGTTTAAAGCTCTTTATGTCTCCAAAATGTTGTGTTTGCGTTGCAGAGGTGCAGGGGCGACAGGCTTCCCTGGTGGAGGTGCAGGAGGAGGCTGAGCGGCTGAGAGCCCAGCTGCAGCAGGTGGAGCTGGACAAAGACTCCCAGCTCAGCAGCCTGAAGGAGGAGCTGCTCACACAGACTCAGCAGCTGGACAGCTGCCAGGCTCGGGTCAGCACCTGCACACGCTCAGACATCTTTGAACATACTTGTGCTGTATTTTATATGTGATC